CCTCTTTCTCTTTCTCTCGTTGTCAAATAACTTCTTAAAACGGACCAGCGTTTGTAGAAAGTAACTTTCTTTCTTTTTTTTTTTTTTTTTTGTATTTTTATTTTTGAAAAGATCTCACACGTCACGATTTTATTGCATGATTAAGTTAATTTTTTCAAATCATTGTTCGTGGATCTTTTTTTTTTTCTTTCTCTTCTTTTTTTTTTTTTTTTTTTTTTTTTTTGTATTTTTGTTTTTAAAAAGATCTCGCACGTCACGATTTTATTGGTTGATTAAGTTAATTTTTTCAAATCATTGTTCGTGGATCTTTTTCTTTTCTTTTTCTCTTTTTTTTTTTTTTTTTTTTTTTGTTTGTTTTTTTTTTCTAACAAAATATTGATAATTATATCCATCGATCGGTCTTATTTGTCCAACTCGATTAATATATTGAACGACATGACGGTAGTCACGCTGAGGTTGATACAATACCAGTTATTTACTCTTAATGGGATGTGTATAGTAATTGTCTCAGTATGTGATTTAACTTGATCATTCGGTGGTTAACTATCTGCGGCATACGTTATCGTCGATATTTCATTATAATTAATCAATATCGATTTTATTATTAACATTTTCAACGGACGCCACAACGTTATTAACTATTCTACATAGTAGATAATTTGAAATCGAGACCTAGGTGATTACCGTATGACAAAGGAAATAATTATCATTAGGTATCTTTATTAATGTCGTCATCACAGAGCAACTTCGGAAACAATGGAAAACAAAGTTTGCTCGTGACAGATAGAAGGGATTTTAACAAAGAGCCGAGCAAACAGAGATTGCGCTAGATAGTCGATCGAGAGCAATCGAAGTGAATTCATCTAATGGATTGAATTTCTCCAAAGTGGACTCTCGGTTTTGACGATGACTCTTTTATCGATCAGTAGTTGAAATTAATTCATGTTATATACTGTATGTATTTCTATCTATTTATATATATATATATATATATATATATATATATATATATATATATATACACAGACGAAATTTCCGCGCAATGACGACGTATCTACTGTGTAATATGCAAAATTCGTTCATCAAAATTCCGAGCTCGATGTGATAGGACCAGAACTGTTTTTAGGTATACCCCAAGAAAACTAGAGGCTGTATTTTAGCAACGTGTAATAACGACTCATGGCTTTACATTCTCTCTCCTGCCTTTGGATTTTCATTGCACGCAAACGGAACTTTTCGAAAGGGCTACAATTCTCTCTCTCTCTCCCTCTCTCTCTCTCTCTATCTTTCTCTCTCTCTCTCCCTCTCTCTCTCTCTCTATCTTTCTCTCTCTCTCTCTCTCTCTCTCTTTCTCTCTTTCTCTCTTTCTCTTTCTCTCTTGCCTTTTACTTATAGTACTAATAGTCGTTCACGTCGTTGTTACTGTATCCGATCTCTTTCATATTGGTAGGCACGAGAAACTCACTGAGAATGGGCTCATCTAAAGACTGGAAACGGCCATTATCGCCGTAGGAAAGTAGCCGATATTTGCATTTCCAACTTCGTCCACGTTCTTCCTTTGAAATCGTGCTAACAAACTTCGTGGTAGAGTACGATGGGATGGAGGTGTGACGTTGGCTGCTTGCTTGGACGTACCTATTAGAGGCGGTTTAGTACTACTCGTAAACGGCCCCTACGCTAGACGATTTTCCAGTCGACGCTCGTATCGAGTCACGTCATTTAAATGCGAAATGGTTTGGAACGTTCCCTAGGTTCCCTAAGACCTATAGAGAACATTTCACCTATGTGTTAACCAATAATTCCATCGATGATTTTCTTTGATCCTATATATTATCTCTTACCCATACGTATGTATGTGTGTGTGTGTGTATAAGTGTGTACATATACACTGTCTTCCTAGATTTACGAGAGTATTTACGTTTGAAAATATAATGTTACGATATTTTAGAAATTTTAGAAAAACATAAAATCCCATTTAAAAAAAAAAAAAAAAAAAGAAAAAAGAGAGAAAAAAAATTCATTCCATTGGTTTGATATCCCTTTCGATCTTCAATAGAGATTGAACAAAGTAATTACAATGTCCCAATCGGCAAAAGTGAGTTTTGACAGGAGATCATAGACATACCCCCCGTTTCAAAGTTTGATCTTGTGGTTGATCCTTATAGTCTCTAGCAACAAACTTAGACTTGGGTGTTTCTACTATCCAGTTGTTGTCCCTCCTCCATCACATGCCCATCCACCCACCTATCCATCCTCCTACTTCCTATGCATTAACTTTATCGATATCATCCTCGTAGTTAGCGTCATTGTCTTAACAGATATTTAGATCCATTCGGATTCGTTCAATAGTGGTTCTCAACTTTGTATTAGACTTGAGTACAATAAACGCGATACAATATAAACAAATCTGAATATAAACGTATTTAAAAATTCCTTTTAAATCTGATATCAAAGTCAGAGGGTTGTTCGCAAGAACATAAGAAGAATGAAATCTTAGATATAAATCGATCGATCGATTGATCGATCGTATATATCTAACGATAAATAACACGGTTAAATCGTTTTGATACGTTGATACGAACAACCTCGATTACAGTTCGATAGGTGGGTGGTCGATTGCATTTAAAAGAAGCGTCCATTCGGCGACGCGAATTTGCCTGCTCTTTAAAGCTACTTCTCCGCTCCAATTTTCCACAAGAATGTGACACGTAGCAATCTTCGTAACCTCAGGGCTGTGCCGCACGATTTATTGGCCACCGAGTGTACCACCGCGACGATTTATCTTCTCGCGACGTTCGTCCTCCCTCTTTTACCTCCTTACCCCTTCTTACCTCCCTATCTCTCTCTCTCTCTCCCTCTCTCTCCCTCTCTCTCCCTCTCTCTTTCCCTCTAGCTCCTCTTAAACCCTCTCCCTTTTACTCCCTTCTCGTTTCACCGAAGACGCCGTCTGGGAGAGGCACGCACGTCTTTTATCCTTTGCTTCTTACTCTCTTTACCTTTCGTACCTTTACGATCGACGGTCATTCGAATCGACACTGCGATATCTCAGCAGTGTTTCTCAACTTTTTTACGATTCTTCGAAAAGGTTAAAAAAGTTATGATATTGATAATTCAATTGCCCTACTCGTAAGTCTCTTGTATATATTTCCGTCGAATATATTTTTGAGAGATAAAAGAAAAAGTTTATCTTATAAATTATTTATATTCTTTTGGTATATTTCTTTTCTCTCTCTTTCTCTCTCTCTCTCTCTCTCTTTCTCTTTCTCTTGACACTCTCTCCACGATTTCCGCCATCTCTACAAACTCTCAGCTCTCAGGTTTAGCTTTGATGCTAGGATATACATTTTTATCTTTACATTGAGAAACACTGCGATATCGTTCGCGAGTAGAGTATACTTCGCGAGCCATCCCGTTATCTCAAACTTCGAGGCTTCCCTACTTTCAACTATCGACAGTTCTCCTCGATTGCAGAACGTACCTACCCCAACGCGAATAGTTCGACGTGCGATATCGCAGATGTGAATTCGCTGGATGCCTCTTAGACGCGTTGCCACATATTGAAAATTCTTTAACTGCATTTGACGGACGAACTCTCCCTCTCCCTCTCTCTCTCTCTCTCTCACTCTCTCTGTCTCTGTCTCTGTCTCTGTCTCTGTCTCTGTCTCTGTCTCTGTCTTTCTCTCCCCCTCCTCTTTCTCTCAACTTTTTACACCCTTTTTTTTTTTTTTTCTTTTTTAACTCTTCTCCCATCGAAGATTTCCATGGACAAAAGTAAAAATTATTGTTAACGATAAACCACACATACATATTATGTATCAAGGGATACTCTTATCGGCAATAATTAATTATATTACATAATCTCAATCAATCCTTTTCTTTTTCCTTTATCTAATTCTAAATCGATCGATTTACTTTTTAAGAAAATTCAATTAGATTAATATCCGGCATAGAATAATTCTTCGGAAATTTTCCTCGTAGAAGGGAAAACGTAGAAAGCGAGGGAAAGAACCAGACGAAATGCGAAATGCGAATCGAGAGAACGAGATGTTATTCTACTGTTCGAAGAAGGGGAGAAGAAAGAGAAAAGGAGAGGTATATAGAGACGGGAGATGAAGGAGAAAGGGGTGGAAGGGGAAGGAGCAAAGGGGGGGGAGGGAACTCGAAGACCGCAGGTGTAACGACCGCACTGAGCGGTCGATAAAATGTACGCGGCTTTTCGGTGCGAGCTGGAACCGAGAAAACCTTCTTTCCTCATCCTCCTCGTCTCTCCTCCCTCTACCTCTCCCTCCTCCCATCTCTCTCTCTCTCTCTCTCTCTCTCTTTTACTTCTCTTTCCATCTCTCTTTCCATTGGTATGGGTGTCTCGATAAAAAATGCAGCGATCACGTTTCGGCAAAAGACTTTGAAATCCGTAAACCGCCTCGTCCTCGACGATTTCTCGTTCCAACGAAACAGCAGGGTATCCCCCTTCTCCCTTCTATCCCTCTCTCTTACCCTTCCCTTCACTCGTCACCAGAAGAGAGAAGATATCCATCCTCATTACCGGCCGATATTTCTCGGTTTCTCTGGTGGGAGGGATGAGGACGAGTTTCGATCCATCGTCGAATGTTCGATCGATCGATCGATCGATCGGATATTTATTTCAAAGGCTTTTATTTAAAACATTTACGTATGTAACATTAATATACGTATCATAATATTTTCGTTGGAACAATAAATTGGATTGATTAATCGAACGTTGAGACAAGAGAATGGTTTTAATTGTTGATCAATTTTATCAACAAATTATTTAAGTTTAATAATCATGTCATAATTATTTACAAACACAAACATACACACACACACACAGAGAGATAGAAATGTTTAATAATTTCGGCAACTTCTGCTTCAAGATCTCTATGAAATAGAGAAAAATTGTTAATTGGATAGAATCTTTCATTGAGTAGATTGTTAACACGGTCGATCTTTTTTTTTTTTCTGTTATCTTCCATATAACACAGTTGCCAGATAAAATTGGTCGAACCCGATGATATCGAGTTATCAACAACAAGAATAACAACAACAACAACAACAACAAGAACAATACGTAGTATTCTGAGATAATCTCATCCTCGTTGCACAAAGTATCTACTCGGAACAAACATCGAACGGATTCGAATTACTGGGGCGAGCGATTGAACGAGTAAGTATCTCTGGCTCTACTTTTCTCGATTCTACCTTTCTTATTTTTCGGACTTCGATATTCTACACCTTAAATGGGCAAGAAACGTAGAAATCGATTCACGGTAAAACGATCGACCAGAGAGAGAGAGAGAGAGAGAGAGGGAGGGAGGGAAGGAGGGGGGAAAGAGAGAAATTGGAACAGTTCCCTCGTGTTACGATAAAAATTTCACGTTCAGCCGGATCTCGCGAAGAGAGTCGAGGGACGTTCGATTTGCTTTCTTTGATCGATCGTTGCTGACGATCAAATTCGTTGGATTTCCACTGAAAAAGAAACAGAGAGAGAGAGAAGAAAAAAATGAGGAATTAATTTAGATTTTAAATAATTAAGAACATTTTTGATTATCAGTTTATCCTAAACAACGTGAAATATTTTGAATAAAATTTAATTTAATAAATTGGAAATCCAATGAGAGAGAAAGAGAGAAAGACAAAATTCGAGAATCCTTTAATAGAAATAAAAAAAAAAAATAAAAAAATAAGGATTATCGAGATCGTTTCTTTAGATCGTCCCGCGAAAAAGTCCGATTAACAAAGAAAGGTAGACATCTAGGTACCGAACGAAGGTACGAAAAAAGGACAAAGGGTTCTGACTTACAAAAGGTGTCCTGCGGCACGCGATGCGATTGTGCAGTTCCACGGATAGAAGCGGAACGTTACCTGAGACAGAAATAGAAAGTGGCTGCTGTGGGAGTAAGAGCAAATTGTGCATCGGCGAGATGAGGTTGATGCAGAGGCTAGCGATCAGTGGACTTTTTTCGGTGATACTGATCGTTCTATTAACTGGAACATTCGTAACCAGACGCGACCTGACCAGTGTCGTTGAAAGAGGTGTAGCACCTGAGGAACGTGCGGAACAAGTAAATCCAGCATGGATCCAGGATAATGCTGTACCTGTTGGTGGTACTGGTGGTGTTGGTGTAGGTGGTGGTGGTGGTGGTGGTGGTGGTGGTGGTGGTGGCGGTGGTGGCGGTGATGGTGGTGGTGCTGCTGCTGCTGCTGCTGCTGATAATGTTGGTGCCGATTCTGTTGTTGGAGGATTTGCTAGAGCAGGTTTGCCTCGCGAAGAGAACAGAATCGAAGATAAACAAGATCGACGAATGTTCACCCTCGTTAGGACGGTTCATAGGCCTTCTGTAGTTTCGGTTGCCATTGCACCACCACCCGCACCACTTCCAGGTCCTTACATCGTTAGACCACCCAATCCACCATTGGATGACGTCACTCATCAACGTCGTGAGAAAATCAAAGAGGTGAGTTATTTTATAATCAAATAGATATTATATCGTCGGTGAGTAAAATTGAAAAAAATAATTTTTACGTTTAATATATCGTTTAATTGTCTAACGTTTAACCTTAGTTTAGTTAATTATAAACGAACTATAATAATTTTAGTTAACGTATATATATACAATGACGAATCTTATCGGTTTATTAAATCGTAAACCGATTTGCCATCCTTCTCGTTTCATAAATCCTCTCTCATGTACGTGGAATAAGAAAGTTTGGCTAGTGGAAGGTATATTTTAGTGGCAGAGGTATCCCAGCAGCCAAATTTTATGCGCACCAACGAACGGGTTTATGTACTTAAAGCGTTATCGCGCTCCGCTATTAACTTCATAAGTATGGATTTGAAACAGTAACTTTATGAGGCATCGTCCTCCACTCAAGTAAAAGTTCGAATCGTGCTTTTCGACCTCCCGATGAATACAATTTATTCCGTTCTCTCCAACGGTGCAATCTCGTAAACCGAAATCATCAATTTTCTTCAAAATATATATATATTTTTTTTTCTTCAAACTATATAAATATATATATATGTGTATGTGTGTGTGTGTCGTGATTCATTTAAAGTGGTTAATATATATTAACATGATGCATACATATATACATATAATTATATATAAAGAGAAAAGTTATATTGAAAATTTTAAAAAGAAAAAAAAAAAGAAAATTTAATTAAAATCAATGATATCGGATTTTCGAAATTACTTCGGAACAAAATCGAAATTCTTATCACAAAAATTGACTCTATCGTCTGGATCGATGATAATTTACATAGATTAAAGATATTTCTTATCTCGTCGTGATACTAACGAATCCTATGACGGTAAGTGAGAACATAATTCTTTTCATTTTATATATATATATATATATATATAAGAAGACAGTAAAAGATCTAAGGAAATGATGATGATGATGATAATGATGATGATGATGATGATGATGATGATAATGATAATAAAGAAGAAAAAGAAAGATATCTCGAAGCACCAAGAAAAAAAGGTAGTCAAAATTTATATGTTCTATGATTTCTGGTGTTAAAACAAAGATCACGAGATAAACAAAGATAAAATTTCATAAATTCTAATCCGATTTACGTCGTTCTAAGTATTGCCTTACTAATGAATAACAGTTGTTCAAAAATGTTGAATCATCCATAAAAGATTTTTTTTATATATATATATGAAATAGAAAAAAGAAATTAAGCTCTCTATATAATATAATTATCATCGCTTAAATAATTTTAAGCGATATCTCATACATATATATTTTTTTATGAAAATAAATTTAAAATATGAAAATACTTTTGACATATAGAAGAAAGAAAAAAAAATGATTGATCGATCGATCTTCGCTGATTCTACGAAAGTGCCAAGGTAAACGAAGATAATGACGTAATTAACTTAATTTACGATCTCCAATTTCCACTTAGATGGGATTTCAATGACATTCGTTCTTTCCTACATTTATGATCTCCCTCTCTTTCTCTCTCTCTCTCTCTCTCTCTCTCTCTCTCTCTCTCTCTCTCTCTCTCTCTCTCTCTCTGTCTTTGTTATTTTTTCCCTTTTTCTATCTCTTTCTTCCTTCGTAGTCCTCGTCTCGTTATTTTACTCGTCGGAGAAACGACCGGCTGAGTCTTCGTTTCTTGCTTGAAAATTATAGTTCGCTGTGCGTCCTTCCTCCCTCGAAGGATGATTTAAGCGTTTGCCGAGTCAACAGAATTAATCGCGACGTCGATCCTGGAAAGACGAAGAAGAAACGATCTGTGTTTCGACTTCTTGCCGTTACTTTACCGTGTCACCCAGAACACGCCTTTCAAGAATATTTTCTTATCAGATTCGATTAATCGAGCTACGAAAGAAACGTCGAACGTTCATTTTCGATTACACGTTAAAGTAAAAAAAGTTAACTTCTCGTTTGTTTATGTTCTGCTTTAAGAAGAGAAAAAAAAAATTGTCTCTTTCTCTTTTTTCTTCGTTTTTTTTTTTCTTTTTTCTTTTTTTCTTTTTTTCTTCCCCCCCATATAGTTACATACATACATTCCTCGGCTGGGATTTATCACAGTCATAAATGAAAATTGTTGCGAAATAAACAGATCAGGAATTTTTGTATATTCTTTTCTTTTTTTCTTTTTTCCTTTTTTCCTCTTTTTTTTTCTTTTTTCATATTCCACAACCACGATTTACCATCATAATGGTAATTCATCATAAATGTCATCATAAATATCATCATAAATGAAAATTGTTGCGAAATAAACAGATCAGATATTTTTAAATTCTTTTTTCCTTTTTTTTTTTCTTTTTTTTTTTTTTTTGTTCTTTTTTATATTTAACAAATTAGCTTCATCGAATTTTCTCTTTCTCTGTCGCTGAGATGCGAAATCCATTCGAATCATTAGCAAAAAGAACACGTATTCCTCAGCTACAATTTATTAATGTCATAAATAAATATCATTATGAGATAAACATCAGTAATTTATTTATTTGTTTAATTTCTTTTTTCTTTTTTTTTATTTATTTATTTATTTATTTTTTTTTTTTTTTTTTTTTTTTTATCAAATTAATCTCATCGAATCTTCTTTTTTTGTATATCACTGAAATACGAAATCCATTCGTTCGAATCATTAAAGAAACAAATTATACTCCTTCATCTATCCCATTAATCAAAAATCATAAATAAAAATCGTGACGAAATAAACATCGATTATTTATTTATCTTTTTATTTATTTAACGAATTAGCTTCATTGAATTCTTTTTTCTTCGGTATCATTTGTCATTTCATCGACAATGAAATATTTCTTATCAGATTCGATTAATCGAGCTATGAAATATGAAATTCATTCGAATCATAAAAAAAAAAGAAAAACAAGTTATATTCCTCAGTCTACGATTTATCAAATTCACAAACAAAAATTATATCGAATTAAAAGTCGACAAAATTTGTTTTCTATTTTATTATTTTATTTATTTATTATTATTTTTTTTTTTTTTTTTTTTTTTTTTTTTTTTTTTTTTTTCATTTAATGAATTACATAGATCCATCGAATTCTCTCTTTATATTATATACGAAAACTGTTCGCATCATTGAAAATTATTCATTAAAATTTATAAACGAAAAGAAAAACATGTTATAAATTAAAGATGTAAAATATGCACGGTATAATATTATTTTTCTTCTTCTTCTTTTTTTCTTTTTTTCTTTTTTCTTTTTTGTCTTTTTAATTAAATTAGCTTCATCGAATCATCTTCTTTCTTTAGCTGAATATCATCGAAATACGAAAAAAAAACGTATTCGTATCGTAAATAGAACGAAAAGAAATTCTCGACAAAAGTTAATGGATTCTTCTTTCTTGAAATTCGCGAACAATTAACTTTTAGCTTTTGGCTATGAAACGTTACTGTAAGATTAGAGAACGATATTGCGCGAATTCGCGTGAGACATTTACTTTTCGTCTCGGCGCAAAGGATAGACGGAAATTAAAAGGGAATCGTAAGGGTGGAAAAAGGAATCAACGAGAGTCTTTTGTGCTCAACCATTTTGTTCCACTGTGTCGATGTCGATATTCGCATGATGCGATAGTAGTAGTGGTGGTAGTAATAGTACCGTGACGATAATGGCGGTGTGGTGTTTGAACCATAAAGAGAAGAGGACCGAATGGTGAAAGCCGATTGTGGGGGCATGGGATTAATGAAAGGACATTCGAGAATTCGACGTTAGGAATTTCGAGAACGATCTCTCTAACAAGTCTTTTCTATTGTACGAATTTTTGTTCTATTTTTCTTTTTTGTTTTTTGTTTTTTGTTTTTTTTTTTCTTTTTTTTTTTTTAATGAAGAAAAAAGAACAAGGAGACAAATGACGATTGATTAAAAATTATAAGAATGAAATAAAAATACGGGGTTGTTCATGAACGGATGACCTCGATTAAAAAAAAAAGAAAAAAAGAAAAATAAGGAGGAGAAAAAGAAAAGGAAAGAAGAGAAATTAAGAAAGAAAGAAAAAAAAGAATTATAATAACGTACATCATAATTGTTTATACAAGTCCCGTCGTTTTTTAATAAAATAAAAAAGAAGAACGATCGAAAGAAAAGAATAGAAGAAAGAAATATAGAAAAGAAAAAGGAAAGGATAGATCGATCTGTTCGTTATCTTAAAAGTAGATCAATCTATTCTTCCCTCTTATCTGCTAAATAAAATCCACTTGTGTATAATTTACTAAGGACAGCGGGTGATCTCTACTTTTTCTTCGTCGACCGAAGAAACAATTTAATCGGGGTAACGAAGCGATCTAATTCAAGAGGGAAAAGAAGAATGAATCTTCATCTTTGATGGTCTTGTTAACATACTACCAACAACTATCATAGTTTCAAATAAGAGTGGGCAAAGTATTAAAGGAGAATTTTATCGTTGTTGTGCGATATTAATGTAAAAAAAAAAATAAAAAAGGAAAAAAAAGGAAAAAGAAAAAGAAAAAAAAAAATACGATGCATATTTTCTCAATGGACCGATATATATCTTTACGACGCATATTTTTCTTCATTGCATGAAAAAGATTTCGTGTAATTAATTAATTAATTTAAAAGCATTAAAATGAATATGCTCGATGAAGAAGATGATGAGGAGGGGAGTGGGCGTAGGGGTAATAGTTTCAACTTTGTAAAAGCTTCGAAAGAGAGAGAGAGAGAGAGAGATAACGAGTCAATCACATTAAGGTTGTTTCTTCGAGATTTCTCTTTGGAAAAACGAATGATTTCATCCCTCCCATCACGGGTCATACCATTTCCATTCCTTCCCACCCCTACTTTTTTATTTTCTCTTTCTCTCTCTCTTTCTCTCTCTCTCTCTCTCTCTCTCTTTCTCTCTTTCTCTTTCGTGAAACCTCATCTCTAGTCGTATTTCCATTGAATAACCACCGCGAACGTTTAAAATAATAGCTAGGTCTCTATCTTCGTCGAGTTTTACCCCCCTCC